AGGAGCAGCTATCCAACCAGGTCAACCATTTCCAAGTACCCTGCAAGACCACAGCATCTAAAACAAAACCACCAAGTACCACCACCTATCAAATAGACCCAGTGAACCAAGAGTCCCCACAGGATGCTAGATCAAAGCCATTCCATCTTAAACCTGCACCTACAGCTCCCATCTGGGGGGACAGGCCCTGTGCTGACACACAGTCTCAGAGAGAAGAAAAGGCCTGGCCCAGCCTCGGCTCTGATGTGAGTGTGTACAGACTGACTCTCTGTCACCTGCAGGAGGTCTGGGAAGACCCTAGTGAGAACTCAGATAATGAGGTTTCCAAACCCCAGGCACAGAGGAGGGGGTGTCAAAGGGAAAATGCTGGGCCCATAGAACGCCAGTGGGCAGGGTGTACAGTGAGTCTACCCTGGGAAGTAAGCACCAAACTATAGCATTCACTGGGCACGTCTGAGGTCTCACACTGACACTGTCAGCAGTGCCAGATATGATCTTCTGTCATAGTCAGCAAGAGACTTGCATGGGAAGCTACTGAATACCTTGGGATGGGAAGGGAGGTGGTGAGCAGTCGGGTAACTTAGCCAAGGTCTCTGAGAATCCAAATCCAGGTTGGCCAGGCCCTCTGCCAACTTCAAGTCTTTCCTGGCCTCCTCAAGCTCACCTGGAGTTTCCCCTCCCCTTCCTCTGGCTTCAGCCACCACTCCACTGCCTGATGGCCATAATCCTATCACAATAAGCCTGGTCTAGGGCCACCAGGATCAGGGGAAGGACAGATTCCATGCTCACTTCCGTGTTTCTCCAATACCGTTAACTCATAAGACGCAAAAGACTTTATGCCGGAGGGGAGCCTCAGTTCAGAGAGAATAGGGGCTCACTCAGCCCAGTGTCTAACCAGGATGAACAGTTAGACCTCCCATTTTCTGGGGCTATCTGGGGCTATATCTGAGGCTACCCAGGGCTGATAAGCTTAATTTAGCTGCTGTTGTTACCCTTTTCTGAGGATGCCCCGGGTGCCGTGTACCATGCTGGGAGCCAAAGATGTAAAACCAGAGGACTACACATGGTTGCTAGTCTGTGGACACTCAACATTCAGCCACACAGGATGACAGAAGCAGCTTCAGCGGGAACCCAATACACTGGAGCCCACTACACAGGGGCACACACAGACACACAAAGGCACAGATACACACACACCTGGAGACCATGTGTATACTCACAGCCCCAAACAGGATGCCCCTGAAATGCCCAGCATGACTGTAGAAACTGCAGCATGTTCACTTAACAGGATATTCTATAGCGGGTGTGCACACAACACTGCAGGCTTGTGGGACATATTGGTTCTGTCCCAGCTACACTCTGTCTAGGAGGAAGCACTGCTGTGTCCCAGGGAAATTTCAGTTATGGGCATGAGAATTTGAACTTGGTGTGCAATCTTCATGTTACAAAATATTTTTCTTTTGAGTCCCACCCCAACCACTTAAAAAATATGAAAAACCACTCAGAACTCTCAGGCCATAGCGAGGTGGTGGAAGGCTATACTTAGCCTGGGGGTCCATAGCCTGCTACCCTTGCTCTGTAGCAGCAGAAACAAATGTCAGCTCCCTCTCGGCTACTGGATAGAACTTAAAAGGCATACTGTTGAATCAAAGAGACACACCACAGAACAAATACAGGAGCATTTCAATGACACCAAGTTCGAAAGCAGTCTAGGCTCAGTGGTCCCACACTTGCTTAGCGTGTATGAGGCCCTAGTCTTTGTTCCCAGTGCTGAAACAAAACAGGCGAACTTCCACGGTGACTTGGACTGTGCTGAATGATGACTAGATACACAAAATAGGTCTGGGTTTACCCAGCACCCCCACACCCACACTCATTCAGAAGAGAACAATACCTGTCTCTGAAAACTGCTGTCTCTGGAAGAATGTTCCGGAATGTTCCGGCATATTCTTTCTCTCTTGCCATAGTCAGGCAGCATGGGTTTTTGGAAGTATTTATCATTCATCACTGTACTTACAATTACAATGAAGAAGGCAGCAGGGAGAGGACCTATGGGGACAGTGTCTGAACCTCCACTTGACAGGCATTATAATCCTCTGGAAGCAGTCTCACATCCCACTGCTCTGGGAGACTCTCCTCTGCAGTCAAACAGAAACCTCTCGCTGTTTCTTCCCCCAGCGTGTCTTCTGGTCTCCCAGCCTTTATCCATGCTGTGCCTGTGTGCAGCCTCACCTGCTCTGTCCTCCCCTGGGTCCAGCCCCCAGCCCATGGCCTCTCCAGCAGGCAGCCTCCCCCGCAACACACACACACCTGCACTCCCTGAGCCCACCTCAGCACTGCCTCTCTGCCTCTCTGCAGGCCTCTGCCTCCCAAGCTCTTTATTGGGATTAAACGAAGATGAAAGGCAGAGCCCAGTGGTGACAGAGGCTGGAGGGGCAGGAAGGGAGGCAGGAAGCCTTGGCTTGCAGAAGGCAGAGCAACTATTCATGTTTGGGAACAAAGGGAGTGGTGACATCTGAGGCCAGAGAGCACAGGCAGGTGCTGTGTGAGCTCCATCTGGGTCCTGTTCCCTGGGACACGTCTCATGATGTCTACCCAACTGAGACTGGGCCTGGGGCTTGTACACCTCTGTTCCCTGAAGGGTCTAAAGATCTGTGGCTTGGGAGGCCCTGCAAGCCACTTCCTCTTCCATGAGTATTTGAGAGAGAAATCAGTAAAGCTCAGAGCTTGAAAACAGTCGAAAGAGAAAAGAGACTGACATTAGTCAAAGACACTGGGGCCCAGAAAGGGTAAGCGGGTTACCCCAGTCAAAAGACAACGTAGCAGTCCCAGCATCTGAAGCATTCAGGCAGGAGGATGGGTGGAGAGTTTGAGGCCAGCCAGAGCTATACAGTGACTTCTGGCCAGCCTGGGCTAGACAATCAAGTTCAAGCTACACATTGAATTCTTGTCTTAAAGAAAACTAGCAAGAAAGACAGAGACAGACAGACAGACAGACAGAGATGAAGATGGAGACAGACAGAGATCACACATATGAAAGAACCCTTATAGCCTGAGACAGGGGTGTGAGGGGAGGAGCAGAAGCTGTGATAGACAAGGGGCAGGAACCAGAGAGGAGGCAGGGTGTTCCTGTCATGGGCTCCAGAAGGCAGGGAGCAGGCTTTCCCCTCCCATGCAAGAGCAGGAAGAACTTCTCTGTTGTGGACGGTTTGCTGCAATACAAGGGGGAAAAAAATCTGTTTTTGTTTGTAGCTCATTCTCTTTCAAAACAGCTTCCCCAAAGCTGCAGTCACTTGGCCAGAAAAGCCTCCTCTAATTCAGGGCCTTGGTGTTTGCAGGGAAGAACCACACAGAGAAAAGACAGGACGTGAGAGACATTAAGTTCAAATGACTACGCGTGAATTCTTTTTGTTTATTGAGAGAGATGATGGTTGTTGAGGCACAATCTCACTCTGTGGTCCTAGCTAATCTGGAACTAATAGCAATCCTCCTACCTCAGCCTTCCTGGGATCACAGGCACTAGCCACAACATCTCACATAAGTGGACGTTCAAACACTGTCAGCAAGTGATACATTCTAGCTTTTGGCTGTCTTTTCATAGGCAATGTGGGATAAGCAACATTAAAGGAGACAGGCCACAGGGCTGGTACCCAGACTGATCTAGAGGCTGCTTGTTGGCTCCTGCCTCCTCAGAGTTAAGTTTCCTGGGAAGAATGTTCTTTGAAAAGAAAAGTAATAGGATCTGCAGAGCCCACTGGGCAGGGGAGACTGAGGCTGAGGCTGACCCAGGCCAGCAGCCTGATTTCAGACATGTTGACAGACCTCCCCGGGTTTAGACAAAAATGTCAGTGAAATGATGCTGAGGACGTTAAAGGTTTACCACACGCTAATTCCTGATGATCAGATAGAAATGAAAAGGGCTATATGACACAATACGGGTAGAGAGAACTCCCAGTCGCCTCATCAAAGTCAAAGCAGCATTGAGAAGAAGCCTTGGTGGGCAAAGTGCTCACAGCGCAAGTGTAAGGACCAGAGTTCGAATCCCTGGAATTCACACAGAGCAGAGTAGCACGTGTCTCTAATCTTATTGTTCCTGCCACACAAGATGGGAAGCAGATACAGAATCCTCGGAAGCTTGAAGGCCAGCCAGCCTGGCATCTGCAGCAGCGACAGACAGGCAGACAAACAAACAAACAAACAAACAAATGCTATTTCAAACAGGTGGAAGGTAAGGATGTTCACCTGAGGCTGGCCTCTGACCTCCGTAAACTTGCCACGTGTGTGTGTGTGTGTGTGTGTGTGTGTGTGTGTGTGTGTGTGTGTTGCTAGCTATCCTGAGAGGGACACCCTTGGAGGTGCACTGGCTTGGATTGGCCCCTTCCCCACAGCCTGCTTTGAATGCAGACCTCCTAGCTTCCAAGGGAGCCTAGAAGCAGGATAGGGCAGCAGTGGTGGCCCTGGGGAGATTCACTGGTCATACAATCTGTGGCCTCTGGCTGTATTTTAGAAAGTGGGAAGTGAAGTGTGATCCTCTCTAGTGGCCCCAGGGTGCCATGCTCTGGCTGCCTTTCTATGTTAACAAACCACCAACAGTGTAACCAGGGCAGTTCCAGCACCTGGCAAATTCAACATGATGCCTCTACCACAGCAGCTTTGTAAGAGCTGTCTCTTCCACAGACTCCACACTGGACCTCAAAACACAGCACCGACCCTCTTTATTTAAGGACCAGGGGGCCTAAGCTATGCTGTCAGGAAAGCTGTTAACACTGCGGTGAAGACACAGCACTGTCCCCCCACCCCTTCAAACGCCACCTTGACGAGGCATTAGCTAAATATCTTTTCAGTCCCCAAAGGCTTCCCACATGAAGTCTACAACGTTCAAACGCAACCAGCAAATCCCCAGAGACAGGTCCCGGGAATTAGCTGCTCCCGCTGGATGAAAGTCACTCTGATGTATGCGGACGTGAGGATGAGAGGACGTGAGAAGGAGACAGACTTGCCTGCTAGCTGAAGGGTCCAGGGCACCAGCAACCAACGGAGGAAGCACCAGGTTAGGAGCCGCTTGGGAAGGTGCAGGCATCCCACCCGGGTCCGACACCACAGAAGCCAGCTCTCCATGGGACACAGTGGGGTGAGCCAGACACTTGATCAAAGCAAGTCCCTCCTTCCTCTTTAGTCACTGAGACTAAGGCCCCTGCCGGCAGCTACAGATTCCCCTATGTGTCCCCATAAGTTCCTCCTCTGGACACACTTCTGCTTTCTCAAGGCTGTTCCTCTCAGAAACCCTGACTTCCCTCTGAAATAGTGGAGGCAGCCTTGGTTTGTGTGTGGAGGGGGTGCGGGGGTTCAAACAGATAAGCAGCCTAGGACTCCAACTCATCTAAGCCACACAGTGGGACAAGAGCTTGAGGTAGGAACCTCGGCTTCCCCAGCTTCCTGCCTCCTCAGTCCCTGCAGTAGAGGACGCTGTCCTGGAAGCTGGGGCCATGCTCCTTAGGTCTGGAACCCTAAAAATGACCACAATCCCACCTGCTCAGACATCTCTGCAATGTCTCTGTAATCCCTTGATAAGGATATCCTGAGTGGTGGGGGTGGGGTGGGGTTGGGGGTAGGGGTGGGGGGATGGAGGTGGGGGGTGGGAGTGAGTGGAGCCTAGGGAAAGGGAAGAGTGAGGCAGATTGGCCAACTGGAAGGCTGAAGGGCCTAAGCCACTTGTCCCAGCCTCCTGAGGGAATTCAATGCACCCTGGAGTGAGAGACAGCACTGGTTCTTTGGAGAAGCTCCTCTTGATCCACCTGAACTGACACTCCTCCTCCTGGGGGCCTCCCTAACCTGAGTTCACCCCATCCCCTAAGAAGAGACACAGGCCCTGACTGCCTCCTTGCTTAACAGCCCTGCTCTGAAGCCCCCATGTCTCTAGAGGCCTGAGTACTGGGACAGTGATGGCCTACTACGGGGGTCAATCCTTAGCAGACTCTAGGGAGAACCCTTCAGGTCCAGGAGCCCAATGTCTGTTTTGTGACCTGAATGGTAGGAGCTGAGTGGACAGGGGGAGAAACCCAGCAGGAAAGACGCTGAGGGCCCAACCTGCTGAGTCTTGGCTTTTCTTATTAGAGCCACTAACCCAAGATAGCCCTGAGTAGCCTCACCACTCCAATGACAGACTTCAGCCTGAAGAGGTGAAGCGAGCTGCCCACGATACCAGCAGATCTGTGGGGCATAAACTAGAAGGACAGATAGATTTTTACCTGAATTTTCTTTGTCACTTCTGCCGTCATGGTGGAGGCTGGGCACGTGGCTGAGGATTCCCCCCACCCCCACCCCCGCCCCATGTCACCATGGAGCTTCTGTCAGTCTCTTGCCTAAGTCCCTTCCCCTTGGCCTCTGCACAGTGACAGTGAAAGCTACGAGGTGTTTGGGAGAAGAGCCCTGAGGCTGGAGTGCAGAGGCAAGCAGCCATAGGCCACCCACCCGCTGAGGAAGACGTATGAACAGGAGAAGACGCAACACGGAGGGGCGGGCTGGGACCCAGGAGGTATTGGCTGTTGATCCATCAGGGTGATACATGATCACAAGTGTCACAGCGAAGCATGGATAATCTGCTTCACGCCGCTCCCCAGCTCCTGCGGGGAGCAGATTGTCTAAGTACTTCGGTGCCATGGTGATAGACGGTGTGTTAATGCCTCCGTGCACACAGGGAGCGGTTTAAAGGCACCGGTCTGTGCCTCTGTGAGTCTCCTCATGACTTGGCACCAGGAGCTGCCTGAGTGCCAGGCTGCATGAAACACACAGCCCGGATTCCCCAACACTGAGGCTGTCCCCATGCCTGCCCAGGTGCCAGCTCGCTGCTCCTCCCCGCCTGTACTTGGTACTGCTGGACATCCCAGGTAGATAAACAGGAGTCCCTCACAGCATACCTGTACCTAAGCCTCATGGGACCTTACTGAACACCTAGCAAGCCACTCACTGTCCTGTCACCTGCAGGTCTTCGACTCTACAAGACTTCATCATGCCTGGTATAGGAAGTTGCTCAGAGGCCAAGCGCTACCTGGACTCTGGGTGGGGCTGAGGCTGACTTCTACACCACAGCTATGGAACACGACAAAAGAGGGAGTCGAGCTACTGGAAAGAGGCAAGGACAGGCCTGGGAAGAGGCGCCCTTCTGACCTAGGTGACAGCACAAAGGAGGTTAAACTAAGGCACATTCAGAAACCTAAGGGTTGCCATGATTTTCCAGCTCCCTGTCACCCAGAACTTCCCGCTGTAGATCAGCTGGGCTCCATTCCATGTGTTGTTTTTCCTGTCCTGTGCCCCAGGCAGGAGCCAAGAATAGGTAGCAAGGTTCGAAGGTAGGAGAACAAGAACAGGAAAGAACGGAGACTTCACAGCACTGGGCTGAGCCTCTGAGCTTGACTTTGAAGATGAGGTTACCTGGGGACCACATTTCTCAGCCATGGCGTGAGTTTCGCTAGGCATCCACTTACCTACCAACTACCCTTTACATCTCGCTGGGCACATCCTCTGCCCAGAGCACAGGACTTCCAAGAAGATACAGGAAGGTAAGAGCTCACCTTGAGAAACCATGTCAAAAGGGAATAAAGCTAGCCCAGATCAACTCAGTATGACTGTATTGTCCAGCCTAGCTGTTGGGGCCACTCTTCATCTCTAATTTAATGTGCATGGCAGTCCTATGCAGCGGGTCTCTGAAATTATGTCCATTTTATAGGTGCAGAAACTGAGGCACGGGAAAGACAAAGTGATTTCCAGCCAGTACCCTAAAATGGTGGTTCTCAGCCTTCCTTGTGCTCAGACTCTTTGCTACAGTTTCTCTAATCATGGGGGCGGGGGTGGGGGTGGGGGTGATACCCAACCAAAAAGTTATTTTCATGGCTACTTTGTAACTGTAATCTTGCTACTGTTATGAATCCCAACGTAACTTTCTGTATATTTTGAAAGTCTTAGGTGACCCCTGTGAAAAGGTCATTCAACAGCTCCAACAGGGTCATGACTCATAGGTTGGGAATCACAGCTCAGACTGAGCACCTGAGGGGCAGACAGCAAACAGAGCAAAGAGATGTCAGGGAAGGAACTCGAAGCATGTCGGGCTTGCAGGAGGGCTTTGTGAACCGCCCTGAAGGAGGAAGTAGATGGGGAACCTGGAAACACATGGCCCCTTGCAGTCCCTGGGAAGGGGGATGGGGCTCCTGTAAACTTAGACTAAAACTTCCCTACAAGACAAGTCTCCATGCTAAGTCTACTTCCAGGAATGCTTCTTGTGTGTCAGGCAGTGAAAAGGAGAAACCAAAGTCAGAGTTTTGCACTCAGGGTGCCCCAGAAAGGGAGCTTGGACTCAGCTGCCTGATCTGGGCTTGGAGGTTTCTCTCCCAGATACAGAAATACTAGGACAAAAGGATCAGACCTCTGACCTAGCTTCATGTCGCCTCTTCCTCTGAGAGAGACCTATCAGCAAGGAGACCCTGGCTGAGAGTGACCCCCTGCTCTGACCTGGTGGTTCAAACAAGAGGTGTCCATTCTATTACTCCTAAGGACATTTCTGTCTACAGTGTCAGAGGTACACCCCTCTGTCCTTCCTGTACCCCACATGTCCAACAGTGGCAATGGAAGGTTCCCGTCCTGGGAACACTGGGCTCACATTTGGGAAGGATGCTCTCAAGCCCTGTGTAGCTGACGTGCAACTCTCCTTGCCGCGCCGATGTGTTTGATTGGGTCCTCACCAAAACAAGGCAAGAGAACTTCTCCATGACTCCAAGATAAACACTGATCCAATCATGAGCTGACCCTCAGTGGGCCACCTCCTTGCCTAGGAGGGAATGAACTCTGCCACCAGAGGCAGGCAAACCCATCTGGAGCCCATCGCCCTGCATGCTGATGGGAGGTTTCTGCCCTGGCAAGAAGCCCAGGCTGGCTCATCTCCAAATCTCACCTCAGTTCAGGCTGCCCTAAATCTTTGGCTGTTCTTCCATTTGAGACCTAGTTTTAAAGGCCTTCCATCTATGAGCTACTTCTGTTCTCACAGAAACATTGTGTGGGAGGAGTTATCATTGCCCCTAATTTACAGACTAGGAAACTGAAATCAAGTCCCACAGCAAGGAAGCAGGCAGATAGGAACTTGGGTTCTTGGTTCTTTGGCCCCTAGTGTGTTCTTGCATTCAGCAGTCTCCCTGGTTTTCCAATCAAAGCTGCTATCCTAAATCTCATATAATAAGAAAAATAGAACAAACGTCTTGTTTGGAGGTGGTAACAGATGGTCAAGGACAAGCACCTAGGGTTTGTCTGTTAGGTACATACCCTCGATGAGGGTAACACGTCTAGAAATAATGAAAGACAAAGGTAACTCCCTTTTCAACATTTCTTCCACATAACAGCATGCACCCGGTGGGGCTCCTGGGATGGCTTTGTCACTGGAAGAAACAAACACTACCCAGGAAGCTAATTACTGGAGGTCCCAGGGAGCAGCTGTCAACCTACTGAATCTTCTGCCTTGGGATTTCTCTTCGGGCCATGATGGACAGCCCCGGGACTGGTCTGTGCCGATGGCGCCACCTGGTGGCTGTCATGGGAATGCCCTCAAAAGAGACTCCGTGTCCCTTGACTCTCTAAGAAAACAGGGCCACCCAGAGGCCAACAGCTTGCCAAGTTAGACCCAGTTATGAATGGCAGCGGGGTGGAGTGGTAGAACAGAGGCCAGGGTCAGGCAGTCCACAATATGTCAGGAAGGCTGCAGAACCTAGATCAGGGCCCCAGTGTGCCTCTCTGAGGCGCTTCAGCCCTTCCTGGGGGCAGGCAGCCAATTCACTTCTTCCAGACAGCTGTTTCTACTGGAAGCACTTTCTAATCTCTTCCAGAGCCTCTTTCCCAGCTGCTGATTGGCTGCCAGGCAAACCCTGCCCATCCTCTGCAGGCACAACCGGGACTTTCCAGGGGCAGCCTCAGCCAATTAAGGAAACAATTATCCTCCCCTGAGGCGAATTCATGCTTTGTCACCCAGAGCACTCTGGTTCTGTGGGACTTGTGGGCACAGGGCGTGTGTGTGTGTGTGTGTGTGTGTGTGTGTGTGTGTGTGTGTGTGTCCCACCTTGAAGCTGTTTGGTGAAAGAAGAATTAAAGAGGCAGAGGTGAAATCACTTGACAAAAATAAGTCATA